TTAGAAAAACTGAACATGGAACCAACAACTGAGTCCCATTAAAGTAAAAGACCCTCTTCCACGTCTTCAGGTGTATTGGGCATATAGGGCTAGACATATATTTTCTAGACTAACTGGCAACCTGTGTGTGATGTGGTCAACATCAAGCCAGCTGCCTTTACTTCCCAGGACTCTACCTGGTCCCCATTTTAGGCTGGGTCGGCCTGGGAGCCAATGTCATTCTGCAAAAAGTCCATCTTCAACAGAACCTGAACTCACGACCTTCGGATCTTCAGGCAAGTGTCTAGCTGCTGCACGATGGTGGCTTCCACCAGAGTCACATGAATGTCTCGAAAATAGAACAGGCCTCTTCCCTGTTAGTAACATGGAGACTTAGCTTCTTGTCCTCAACTGTGGAGCTCTGAACCGAATCATGGAAGTTCCTTACCAAGCAACTCTCTTCTTCTTTGCATCCACCAGCCGTAAACTCCAGCAGAAATTCTGGTTTTATAACTTGCTTGCTGGACAGGGTCTCGGGTTCAAAACCTGTATCACTGCAGATGTTTTTCAAAACTGACCTTGGCTCCCCCGCTGACCTAGGCTAAAAGGGTGCTAGGTCATTTTCTAGGAAGGAAAGGCGGCCAGCGTGATGCTGACCACAACATCCAATGAGTGTCAATGCTCTAAATAAATGTGTCTAGCATTAAATGCCCCATAAAAATAAGCCAGTAAAACGGATGTACATGCAAAACTAAGGTCCTGGCTCGAAGCCAAATGGATGAGCAACTAGGACTTTAGGCCAGAGTTCACAGTTGGTGAATACACACAAACAAATAAACAAACATATACATGCCCAATATGCTACTGGCGTAAAAAGGGACTTTTACTTTACTTGCAGTTCCATATTCTTCTTCTTCTTTCGTTCGCGTGAAATAAATTATCTATATCTGCAATGCTGTCTTTAGCATGAATTTCACTGTCTTTTGTAATTCACTAAGCGGCCCGTAAAGTTTGACTTCCACAAGTGTCTCTTTTGGCCAAAGGTTTTGCCTGAAAGCGTTGAATCTGGGACAGTCTTGAAGGATGTGATCTGTTGTTTCAGGTGCCAGTCCACAGGTACACATGTCTGATTGGCCAATCTCAAATTTGTTGAACATGTGGCAGCGAAGTCGATTGTGCCCTGTTCTAAGGCGAAGGATAATGACTTGCTCTGGTCTGTCCATAATATGGTAATCGTCTTGTGCCAGTTTCGGTGGCTTTCTGATTGATTTGATCATTCTCTTCTTCTAAGCAGTCTCATATGTTTTAGGACCCCCGTGTGGGTTCCGGGGCCCTACTATGGGAAAAACAAGAATAGACCAACTGCCTACCCAAAAGCATGTCGTAAGAGTCGACTAATTGGAAGCTTCCTTCAAAGCCAGAGTGCATCTGCCTGAGAGGCAAGGAACCAACAGTCTGCATACAGATCTATCAAATTGATGCACACGCAACACACAGGTTCTGGAACAGGACTGTAGTCCAGAAGTGGACGAACAACTAGAACTTTCCGCCCGAGTTCACAGCCGGTGAACACGAAGAAGAAGAAGATTTGTTTTAGGGAACCTTTAAAACACAAACATGCACGACATGGTACTGGTGTAAACAAGCTTCTTTACTTTATTTTCTTTACAAAAACTCCATATGAGATTCTACAGCTAGTCCCTTTTGTTAACAAGAGACCTTTCTCTCAATTTATGAGACCTTATTGTCCACTTCCAAATGTGAAGCCTTGTTCTTGACAATCTTGTTCATTGTTTGTAACTGAATCACCCCCTTTGCCAGGTGTTTTTTCTTGTGTTTGTTTAACCCACTTTTATAAGTAAACATCCCCCCACAAATATCACAACGGTAGCACTTCTTCCCCACATGAGTCTTCATGTGTTTAGACAGTCCACACCTGCCATTGAAGCTGGCACCACACACCTCACAGCTGTAGGACTTGTCGAGTGTGTGATTCTTCTGGTGCCGGTGCAGATTTGTGTTGTCCACAAAATGTTCCTCGCACACGGCACACTGGTACGGTTTCACGCCGGAATGGGCTCTAACATGCTTCCGCAGGTCACTTGTCAGTCTAAACCAGGTGTCACAGACGTCACATTTGTACGGCTTTTCTCCAGTATGTATCCGCTTATGTTTATTCAAATCCCCACTTTCTGCAAAAGCCGAATCACAAATGTCACATTTGTAAGGTTTCTCACCTGTATGTTTTCTTCTATGCCTCTGGAGATTACAGTTTTCAGCAAACTGCAGGCCACAATCATCACACCTGTACGGTCTCTCACCTGTATGCATGCGCATGTGACGCTGTAGATTACCACTCTCTGCAAACTCATTGCTGCAGACATCACACTTGTACGGTTTCTCGCCCGTGTGAACCCGAACGTGCTTGGTCAGGTCGCCGACACGGTTGAATTCTGAGTCACAAATGTCACATTTAAATGGCTTCTCCTCTGTGTGCGTAGCCCTGTGTTTAATGAGGTCACTCTGTCGACTAAACTCCTCGTCACAGATCCAACATTTGTGAACATTTAGGCCAGACAGGTAATGCTCCGCATACGACAGCATTTCTGAAAAGTCAAAATAAGCAAGTTGTCAGTTATATAAAACTGTTCTAATCTAACACACAATCTATCATACCCTTGTTAGACTACCTGCGATACCCTTGTTACACCATCTATCATACCAGTGTTACATGACCTAGCCTACCCTAGTTACACTGCCTATCATACCCGTATTAGACAACCTATCATACGCTTGTTACATTGCCTTTGATACCCTGGCTACATGACCTATCATACACTACATTCGATACCCAAGTTACATGATCAATATCTTTCTTATATTATCTAACAATAGCCATGTAACACTTCTGTGAGAACATCTTTTACAATAGCCTTGTTATATATCAACAGATATGTGTTTACCACATGCCCACCTCTTGCTAGGACAGCCAAGGACAGTGACCCTCCAGACTGAACATTTAAACTATACAAGTTATTATTCTTCTTTCTGTCCTCAATAGAAAAAGAAATGTCTAACATCTTACTTTTTGCTTGCATCAGGATGTTGAATTAAGAATTGACATCATAGCACTTGGGACACCCCCATAAGCAATCCATCAACATCTCCAGCAGCAAAGAGTTCCGATTCTGATGGCACCAGTAACTGTCTCAGTGTATATCTGCCTCACCTTTCCCTTGAGGGCTGCGTGTTGGCCAGATCCCCTAGTAACGCTTTGCAATGCCATTTTACATAGACCATTTTGATCTCTATCTGTGCCTTCACACTGTTCCCTCTCACTCTTCTATCTGTGCCTTCACACTGTTCCCTCTCACTCTTCTATCTGTGCCTTCACACTGTTCCCTCTCACTCTTCTATCTGTGCCTCCACACTGTTCCCTCTCACTCTTCTATCTGTGCCTCCGCACTGTTCCCTCTCACTCTTCTATCTGTGCCTCCACACTGTTCCCTCTCACTCTTCTATCTGTGCCTTCACACTGTTCCCTCTCACTCTTCTATCTGTGCCTTCACACTGTTCCCTCTCACTCTTCTATCTGTGCCTCCACACTGTTCCCTCTCACTCTTCTATCTGTGCCTTCACACTGTTCCCTCTCACTCTTCTATCTGTGCCTCCACACTGTTCCCTCTCACTCTTCTATCTGTGCCTTCACACTGTTCCCTCTCACTCTTCTATCTGTGCCTTCACACTGTTCCCTCTCACTCTTCTATCTGTGCCTCCACACTGTTCCCTCTCACTCTTCTATCTGTGCCTTCACACTGTTCCCTCTCACTCTTCTATTAGTGCCTCCGCACTGTTTCCTCTCTCTCTCTTCTGTTGTGCCTCCAACAGAAATAATGTCTACTGCTGTATCAAGGATTAGAATTGAGGCCTCTCTTCTTTTTCTACCCTTCAACATAACATAACCCTTGACCCATTAGGGTGGTGGAGGTGTTTCGATGGAAGCACTAGCACATCAAACCCGGCATCCTTCTCTGTCTTCCGCTTGATAAATAAGTGTATAATAACTTAGTCCTGTCCATTTCTTGATGTTGTCATTCCAGATTCTTCTTTGCCCTGATCTTCTTCGACTACCCTCTAACTTTCCTTGAAGTACAGTCTTTGCAATCGAATCATGTCTCACCACATGCCCGAACCAAACTAGCTTGTGACGTTTTACCACTGCCAAGAGAGGCTCCTGATGTTCTGCACATTTGTATACTTTGTTTCTGACATATTTTTTAAGTTTTATTTTCTAAATAATTATTTTGTAATTAATCTCTAATGGAGATTAGACCCTCAACCAACTCACACCAAGTCTTTCTATCCTTTGTTCTCACATGTAGCTCACCATATGCCCATCTTTCTTCATTTTACTCAGCAGATCACTTCTCATTGTGTTCTCTTGCCTGCCTTTCTTCCTTTGACCCTGTAGGTTTCTATATAAAGACATTCTAGTTACATTGTTCTCAGGTTTTCTCACCATGTGTCCTAGCCAATGCAAGAATCTTTTCTTCACCTCCTGATTCATTTTGTTTACTTCTCTCCCAAAAACACAACATTAGGGAGTCTATGATACAATTTAATTCACTCTATTCTGTGAAGACACCAGTTAATGAATGTTTGTAGGTCTTTCAGAAAAGTTTAAAAAACTGGACAAGACATAATAACACAAGCATCTGTCAGGCATGTGAAGATAATGTGATGTTCTTGGTATATTCTACAACACTATCTAGGTTATCCTACGTTACTTCACTATCTACGCCATCTTACGTCAGAACACTATCTACGCTATCTTACTTCACAACACTATCTATGCTATCTTATGTTACAACAATATCTATGCTATCTTATGTTAAAACACTATCTTAGTTACAACACTATCTATGCTATCTTAAGGTACAACACTATCTATGCCATCTTACGTTACAACACTATCTACGCTATCTTACGTTACAACACTACTTCAAATGCAGTGAACTTACCATCTTCATTTTTATCAACAACTTGAAAATGTCCAACAATATCAGCTTCTGTCATGTTCTCCTCAACTGAGATGCTGCCACTGTCCAATCTATCTTCTCTAACAAGAGGACCAGCTAAATCTCCACTGCTCTCACTTTCATTAGAAGCCTGCAATGTAATGTTAAACTACATTATAATCCCACTTTCATTAGAAACCTGCAATGTAATGTTAAACTATATTATAATCCCACTTTCATTAGAAACCTGCAATGTAATGTTAAACTATATTATAATCCCATTTTCATTAGAAACCTGCAATGTAATGTTAAACTATATTATAATCCCACTTTCATTAGAAACCTGCAATGTAATGTTAAACTATATTAAAATCTCACTTAAATTAGAAACCTGCAGTGTAATGTTAAACTATATTATAATCCCACTTTCATTAGAAGCCTGCAATGTAATGTTAAACTACATTATAATCCCACTTTCATTAGAAACCTGCAATGTAATGTTAAACTATATTATAATCTCACTTTCATTAGAAGCCTGCAATGTAATGTTAAACTATATTATAATCCCACTTTCATTAGAAGCCTGCAATGTAATGTTAAACTACATTATAATCCCACTTTCATTAGAAACCTGCAATGTAATGTTAAACTATATTATAATCTCACTTTCATTAGAAGCCTGCAATGTAATGTTAAACTATATTATAATCCCACTTTCATTAGAAACCTGCAATGTAATGTTAAACTACATTATAATCCCACTTTCATTAGAAACCTGCAATGTAATGTTAAACTATATTAAAATCTCACTTAAATTAGAAACCTGCAATGTAATGTTAAACTATATTATAATCCCACTTTCATTAGAAACCTGCAATGTAATGTTAAACTACATTATAATCCCACTTTCATTAGAAACCTGCAATGTAATGTTAAACTATATTATAATCCCACTTTCATTAGAAACCTGCAATGTAATGTTAAACTATATTATAATCCCACTTTCATTAGAAACCTGCAATGTAATGTTAAACTATATTATAATCCCATTTTCATTAGAAACCTGCAATGTAATGTTAAACTACATTATAATCCCACTTCCATTAGAAACCTGCAATGTAATGTTAAACTATATTATAATCCCACTTTCATTAGAAACCTGCAATGTAATGTTAAACTATATTATAATCCCATTTCATTAGAAACCTGCAATGTAATGTTAAACTACATTATAATCCCACTTCCATTAGAAACCTGCAATGTAATGTTAAACTATATTATAATCCCACTTTCATTGTAAACCTGCAATGTAATGTTAAACTATATTATAATCCCACTTTCATTGTAAACCTGCAATGTAATGTTAAACTATATTAAAATCTCACTTAAATTAGAAACCTGCAATGTAATGTTAAACTATATTATAATCCCACTTTCATTAGAAGCCTGCAATGTAATGTTAAACTATATTAAAATCCCACTTTCATTAGAAGCCTGCAATGTAATGTTAAACTACATTATAATCCCACTTTCATTAGAAACCTGCAATGTAATGTTAAAGTATATTAAAATCTCACTTTCATTAGAAGCCTGCAATGTAATGTTAAACTATATTATAATCCCACTTCCATTAGAAACCTGCAATGTAATGTTAAACTATATTATAATCCCACTTTCATTGTAAACCTGCAATGTAATGTTAAACTATATTATAATCCCACTTTCATTAGAAACCTGCAATGTAATGTTAAACTACATTATAATCCCACTTTCATTAGAAACCTGCAATGTAATGTTAAAGTATATTAAAATCTCACTTAAATTAGAAGCCTGCAATGTAATGTTAAACTTTATTATAATCTCACTTTTATTAGAAGCCTGCCAATGTAATGTTAAACTACATTATAATCTCACTTTCATTAGAAACCTGCAATGTAATGTTAAACTACATTATAATCCCACTTCCATTAGAAACCTGCAATGTAATGTTAAACTATATTATAATCCCACTTTCATTAGAAACCTGCAATGTAATGTTAAAACTATATTATAATCTCACTTTCATTAGAAACCTGCAATGTAATGTTAAACTACATTATAATCCCACTTCCATTAGAAACCTGCAATGTAATGTTAAACTATATTATAATCCCACTTTCATTAGAAACCTGCAATGTAATGTTAAAACTATATTATAATCCCACTTTCATTAGAAACCTGCAATGTAATGTTAAACTATATTATAATCCCATTTTCATTAGAAACCTGCAATGTAATGTTAAACTACATTATAATCCCACTTCCATTAGAAACCTGCAATGTAATGTTAAACTATATTATAATCCCACTTTCATTAGAAACCTGCAATGTAATGTTAAACTATATTATAATCCCATTTTCATTAGAAACCTGCAATGTAATGTTAAACTACATTATAATCCCACTTCCATTAGAAACCTGCAATGTAATGTTAAACTATATTATAATCCCACTTTCATTAGAAACCTGCAATGTAATGTTAAACTATATTATAATCTCACTTTCATTAGAAACCTGCAATGTAATGTTAAACTACATTATAATCCCACTTCCATTAGAAACCTGCAATGTAATGTTAAACTATATTATAATCCCACTTTCATTAGAAACCTGCAATGTAATGTTAAACTATATTATAATCCCACTTTCATTAGAAACCTGCAATGTAATGTTAAACTATATTATAATCCCATTTTCATTAGAAACCTGCAATGTAATGTTAAACTACATTATAATCCCACTTCCATTAGAAACCTGCAATGTAATGTTAAACTATATTATAATCCCACTTTCATTAGAAACCTGCAATGTAATGTTAAACTATATTATAATCCCATTTTCATTAGAAACCTGCAATGTAATGTTAAACTACATTATAATCCCACTTCCATTAGAAACCTGCAATGTAATGTTAAACTATATTATAATCCCACTTTCATTGTAAACCTGCAATGTAATGTTAAACTATATTATAATCCCACTTTCATTGTAAACCTGCAATGTAATGTTAAACTATATTAAAATCTCACTTAAATTAGAAACCTGCAATGTAATGTTAAACTATATTATAATCCCACTTTCATTAGAAGCCTGCAATGTAATGTTAAACTATATTAAAATCCCACTTTCATTAGAAGCCTGCAATGTAATGTTAAACTACATTATAATCCCACTTTCATTAGAAACCTGCAATGTAATGTTAAAGTATATTAAAATCTCACTTTCATTAGAAGCCTGCAATGTAATGTTAAACTATATTATAATCCCACTTCCATTAGAAACCTGCAATGTAATGTTAAACTATATTATAATCCCACTTTCATTGTAAACCTGCAATGTAATGTTAAACTATATTATAATCCCACTTTCATTAGAAACCTGCAATGTAATGTTAAACTACATTATAATCCCACTTTCATTAGAAACCTGCAATGTAATGTTAAAGTATATTAAAATCTCACTTAAATTAGAAGCCTGCAATGTAATGTTAAACTTTATTATAATCTCACTTTTATAAGAAGCCTGCCAATGTAATGTTAAACTACATTATAATCTCACTTTCATTAGAAACCTGCAATGTAATGTTAAACTACATTATAATCCCACTTCCATTAGAAACCTGCAATGTAATGTTAAACTATATTATAATCCCACTTTCATTAGAAACCTGCAATGTAATGTTAAACTATATTATAATCTCACTTTCATTAGAAACCTGCAATGTAATGTTAAACTACATTATAATCCCACTTCCATTAGAAACCTGCAATGTAATGTTAAACTATATTATAATCCCACTTTCATTAGAAACCTGCAATGTAATGTTAAACTATATTATAATCCCACTTTCATTAGAAACCTGCAATGTAATGTTAAACTACATTATAATCCCACTTTCATTAGAAACCTGCAATGTAATGTTAAACTTTATTATAATCTCACTTTTATTAGAAGCCTGCCAATGTAATGTTAAACTACATTATAATCTCACTTTCATTAGAAACCTGCAATGTAATGTTAAACTACATTATAATCTCACTTTCATTAGAAGCCTGCCAATGTAATGTTAAACTACACTATAATTTTGACATTTCACTGAAGTGAAATCCACGAAGAACAGAAGCAATTAAATGGTATAACAAGATCTTTAATGCAGAGTCCCTGTGGTACTTTTGGGGTCTCTTGGGGGTTCGACCCAAGCATGTCATACAAGGCAACTAGTTTGGGGGTGTTTCCTTCAAAATCAGAGAGCATTTGCCTCAGAGGCAAGGAACCAACAGTCGGCATAAAAATTGGTGACCTCTTCAGGCGACCACACAGCATACCGCAAAAAATCTTCTGCCGAGTTAAAGTCACCACCAAGAGTATCTCCCGCGCCGCTAAGCGCGGAGCTAAACTAGATGGCTGGGACTCACGAGCAGCAGCTACCCCACCAGCTGCAGCTTCCTTCATTTTATTTGCTCCTGAGTCCCAGCCATCTAGTTTATCCCCATTCTGCGAAGCGGGTAGCGGCACGGGAAATACTCTAGACGGTATGATGTGTAGTCGCCAGAAGAGGTCTGCAATTTACATGTGACTGACACCCTGTAAGGATATATTTTTCGGCCTCGATAATTTGGGACCGTTAATTCTGATAGCCCACAAATGAGTATAATATGCATATTTTAAGTGAGATTCTATTACAATAAGTTAGTATATATATTTATATATTATTGTGCTGATAAGACATAAATTCAGCTAGAAAATTTAGAAAATATCACCTGACTGACTTACCTGAGCTAGGTCACCGGGCTGACCCTCTGAGGACATATTGATATCTTCTTTGTAACCTGGTGAGATGTCTCTCAGAGTCTGGATATTCCCTTTCTCTGCTCTAAAATCAAGCCTGCATTCTTTTCTTCCAATTCCAATATTACTATTTTATTTTACATTCTTCTCCTGCTGATGATAGTGGTGACGTCCGTTCTTACTGGGCAAGAAGTACAGTTGGTAGTGTAGTTAGTAATAGTAGTAATTAGTTATAATGTCATCATCATCATCATCATGTTTCTCTCATCACGGTCTGCCTGAAAGAAACTCCGTCTCTCGCTGAGCGGTAATGGTCGATGACAGAAAAATGTACCATACTCATACTGTTCGATCCTCGGGTGAGACAACACTTTCAGTGTCTTATGTCAACTAACTGTTATTACTGCAGCTTGATGTTCAGTCAGTTTAGTCTAGTGTCCCCTTCCTCTCTGAACTCACCGCCGGCCGTCCGTCAGATCGGGCAAGTCAGTGGACAGTCGTTTCCAAGAAAAGAAATTAAATATTGCCACTACACTATAAATTCAACATCGTGATGAGAACATTCATACAAGCGTGGTTTACCCTACAATTTAATGTAAGAGGTGATGTATACCATTCCGTAACAAAATACACACAATAATTAATTATTATTTTGGATTTTGTCAACAAAGTTCACGGCAGCGCCGCCATGTTGGATGTTGGGCAGATACTTGTACACGTGACGAGCTGAACTTGTTGGTCCTGTCTCAATCAATCAATCGATCAGGTGTCGTTTCCACAAGGAAAGATCTCCTACACACTTTGCCTCTAACCGTGGTTGTACTGCTGTTCGTCTAATCGTTCTCCTCTAACCCGGATTACTCTCTTTCTCTTGTTGATCATCATCTGCTCTCGTTTCCCTCCTGGGTGAATTTTATCAACAGAACTTTCCGCTGCAATTTGCAGCCGGTGAAAGCGAAAGTTAGAAGAAGAACAAGAAGAAGAATGAATGAATGATTTTTATAAGAATTTTGAATGCATTACCAGTACTTTCTTATTAGCCGACCACAAACAGGGGAAATCAACAGGCCATGGGATATTCAAATATTTAAGGGGGTGGTAGATTACGCGTACAATTTTGATTAGGTTAGCGTTAGGTTAACGCGCGAAAACCTTGGCCTTGGAGCAAACGTGCCAAAGCACAGAAAATCTGCCTTTATTACCCTCTAAAATATTGGACTCTTCCGTGACGTCGTTTGTAGTCTGCTAAAAAAAACCACCTGATTACCTTTTCTTCCGACATACCTGGGTTTTCAAAATCTTTCGTCTCACACCTATAGTACAAGTGGCCACCCACTCCTAGGATTTTTTCACCAGGGTATGCCAGTGTGTTGTGAAATGAACGGGCAGACAGACTGGCTGGCTCTGTACAACTTGGAAAACTGATGCATGAAAGGGCAGATGTGGTTAGTGCTTTGTGGCAGAGCGTGTATAGTTCGGAGGAGCAGATTGATCACCACAGTGTGGTGAGATTGATACAGTTGGGAGTGACGAGAGATTCTGGCAGATGCTCGAGGCTCAGAGGAAAGGCAGGAGGGACGTTTAATCAGAATGCTACTGGCACCAAAAGTATCAGAACTCTTCGCTGGCTGCTGAAGATGGGGACGGAGCGCTTATGGGAATATCACGAGTGCTGTAATGTCGGTTCTTGAATCAAATCAAATACTAGGAATAAACTCTAGGAAAGACAATAGTACTGATGCACTGGGATAAGTGCCATTCCCTCCCAAAAAGCTCTACAGAAGCATACCTAGAAGAAGATGGAATAAAGGAGTTACTGACAGCTCATGCTGTATGACATCACAGCATACCAAGAGTGCCCAATCTACGTCATTGCACATTCCCATATGTGCTCAGTCCTCCGATGCAGCAGCCACTCCAAGCTACCTTAACTGATTTTTCCCGTGAGAAATCAGTTGCAGCATCGCCAGTTTTGACCTCAAAGATGTGCTTCACCAATCTCAACTCCCAGGTCACAGAGTTAGCGTCAGAGATTCAATATTATTCCCCAACTTGAGTCCGTGCAGTGCTGATGATACCGGCTCTGTCAACGCTTCTTCCCGTTTGCAAGTGCGTCTTGACTTGGCTATGTATCATTCGTTTAATTGAGTAGCACAAAGCAGATAGTGACAACACATTAAAAAAAAGATTAATTTTAATAAACACAAGCCTCTGTTAAATCATTTCAACACTTTATTAATCACTGGCAAAAAAATTTCTGTCAAAGACGACCAGTAGCTAAAACATGACACACATGGATAATTAATTCACAGCCAAATTTGTTACTCAATAATACAATAAAAATCTGATTACCACTGTCTTACCTTCGTAAGCTCAATGCAAGGACAAACAAATTAAAAAAAATGCAGAAAAATAGCCAAAGAGAAACCTACTCATTTTATTTTTCATTCTGAGCCCTTGAAGTTCGTCTCTATGACTGGCGTTCTCTTTCTAGTTGATGATTCCAAATGTTTGTTGGGTTTGTTTGTAAAACATCTGTCCAACGTCTTCTTATCTGCAATAGGATCTGCTCTCATTCAACTCTTCTGTGTACAGTTGTTGTCTCTCTTCATGTTTTAACCCTTGCAGTCTTGTAGCTCTCAGGAGCCAGTAGCTAGGGCTTGAGGACAACTGAATTAGTTATAAATCTCCCTGTGTGGGTTCTGGGGCCCTGTTATAGGGAAAACAAGAACAGACCCACTGCCAACCCAAAAGCATGTCGTAAGAGTCGACTAATTGAGAGTTTCCTTTGAAGTCGAAGTACATCTGCCCGAGAGGCAAGGAACCAACAGACTGGATATAAATTAATCAGATCTGTCAAACAGATGCACATGCAACACTCAGGTTCTGGAAAAGGAGGACTGCAGTCCAGAAGTGGATGAACAACCAGAACTTTCTGCCAGAGTTTACAGCCAGTGAATGCGAAGAAGAAGAAGTTATAAATCCATTCATGGTGCATTTCTTGGAAGCCAAAGAGTGAAAGCAGAAACATATATATATTTAAAAAGTTAACTGAATTCCATCTTCCCCACATGCCAGTTTGTCTGAGAGCCAAAAGGACAAGTTATACAGCAAGTATGCATTCAACAACAGCTTATATCTACATACTACATGACATAGAAAAGTAAATAACATTTGCTATTGTGAAGATACCTGACACAGTAACCATCTCATTCACTATTTTATCCGGTCTCACCTGCCCACAATCACTCTACTGCAACACATCCTGTTTCAACTGCATTCATATTAGTTATTTTCATGAACCTTTTAACCAGAGACGCTGATATTTAACCGGTGAAACCACTCACAAGAAATCCCTGTGTATGTTCAATCGGCACTGGGCAGCCCCAGCAAAGCTAGCTAACAGCACTGGTTCTGTCTGCGCCTGCGCAGTGTTGGGGTGTGTGTGTGTGTAAGTGTTGAGCGATGAGGTCATTATATCATTTTTTTAGATAAAGGTAATGCATTAATTTCATTTTCAGCTAAGTTGTTACTGATTACTCCCCTTCCTATATAATTTGACACTAATGTACAAAAAAAGTTTTTATAAATGAATGTAAATATATGTTTTGGTGGCCTGCATAAAATAATGTTTTTTATTGCCCCCCCCCCCCCCCCCCCCCCCCCCATTATTCTTTACACGTGCAACAACCAGTTCTCATGGCTGATGACCCAGGTTCTAATCCTCAGTAGATTTTTTCTGCCCGGGACAACAAAAATAACCAAACCTGCCCAGCTGGTGACAACAGCACTAAATCTTCAGGCTCAGATTTCGTTGCTTACACCACAAAAGCCGACAGTAATTGGCAATTTTATTTGGCAACATCAGGTTCTGATCACTAAGTCGAGGGTTCCCCCTCTTCACTATTGATTATGTTTGACTCATTCACAAAGGCAATCAGTATCTGAGCAGTACTTCCCTTTTCCACCATTTCGCTACCCTTTCTTTAAATATATAAAAATTTACAGACAGTCAGCCACGCAAACAAAAATACACTTATGTAAAAATCTGCGCCTATTCTAATGAGTTGTACTTAGAATACACCATACAGTAGCACTTACAAGCACATAACTATACACATGTTGGAATGAACATATCTCTGTGTGTGTGTGTCCGCCCCCCCCCCCCCCCCCCCCATTATGGGGGAAACAAGAATAGATCCACTGCCTTCCTAACACGCATGTCATAAGAGACTAATTAGGAGAGCTTCTTTTGAATTTGAAGCGCATCTGCCTGAGAGGCAAGGAACCAACAGTCTGCATACAAATTAAATAAGCCAGATCTGTAAAAGCGGTGTGCATGCAAAACTCAAGTTCTGGAACATGACTACAGCCCAGAAGTGGACGGGGGAAAAAAGGAACTTTTAACCAGAATTTACGGCCGGTGAATGTCAAGAGGAAGAATCATCAATAATATAGCAAAGATAGTCATTAATAAATCACCATCATCATCATGTAGCAGGTCCTTTGCAGAACGTCGCTCTCATCACAGTCTGCCTGAAAGAAACTCGGTCTCTCGCCAGTTCTCCCGCCTCATGCACTTTCATACTCAAGGAGTCACTTATATCCCGTACTCATCTTCGTGTCGGTCGGCCTCTGCCCCTCCTTCCTGGTACCATGCCTTCTGCTATATTTTTTTCCAATCCATCGTGGCACTTGATATGACCAAAATATTTCAGCTTCCGAGACAGGCTGCTGTTTATTAGCCAATCTTCCTTGACGTTCAGATCATTCATTATAAATACATTACTGTAAAACTCAATGCCTGTTCTAATGAGTTTTACACAATACCACACATAGCAGCCCTCACAAGCACGGACAGTTTTGAATTTTTGTACAGTAAAAGAATCACGCTGATAAGACCAATCATTTTATATGGCTCTGAAACTTGGAGCACAACTAAAAAAGATGAAACCTCATTACAAATTACAGAGTATTACGATGAATCTTTGGACCCATCAAAGACGAAAACAATTAATGAA